ACAACCGAGGAGCGGATTGACTATGGCGGAGACTGGTGCGTGTCTATCGTAGGATGGCGTGTGCGCGTCGGGAATTGCGGCTTCGGTAGTATCGGAACTCGAATCGGAACACCGTTTGTCCTGAACACCGAGGGGCTGATTGACTAATATAGGAGTTGAGAGATCAGTGATTACCGCGAATCCTTGTTCGTCGCGTTTCTGCGGAACGGATCGCGTTCCGGTCATAACTCGGCACTTCCGTTGACGATCCGAGGGATCCGATAGTGTTATGGACTGGTCGCCGTTAATGAAGTCCTTCGTTTCGCATTCCGTGATAGCGAAGAATGGTCGGCCTAGGAGTGCCTCGAACGGGGCTTGACGAACGACTTGAGCTTGGAGGGCGATGTCGACTCCAGCGATATTGATCTTTACGTTCTCAACAGCACCGAGCGTCGGCGCTTGTCCGGAGTCGGCGGTTTCGAGCATAATTGCGAGATCGGAACGCAGATGGATTCCGAGACGTTTCCATACATCCTCGCGAATGATGCAGAGTGTTGCTCCTTGGTCTAGAATACAGTGGATTTCTTCAGTATCTTCGAAGATGGCTTTAACTGTACGTAACGGCATAGCCTGTTCTGCAACCGACTCTGGGCTCCACGCGTGCTGTGAGACTTGAGCTACGATTGCATCTTCGGAAGTCGTTGGTTCCGAGGGTTCCGTCGAGACAAGGTGCGTGGCGGCGTTCGGAACTCGCCTAGCGGATGACAGTTCCTTGACTTGCTTTCGGACATCAGGTGCAATCGACAACAGCTCCTTCAGGGTGAGGCTGATGCTGGAGTCTAGAACGCGAGAGACCATCTGCTGGACAATGACGGGGTCTTCGATGGGAGAGAGATTACGGTACTGATGTGGTTCCGGTGGTGGTCTGGCGGCGGGCTTGTCGGCGTGCTTCGATCCGTCATGCTTCGGGGCCTGGCTTACTTCGGCAGGTGGTGCGGGCTTTGGTTCCGGCTTAGGTTCCTCGTCCTTCTTCTTCGGAATGCTTGTTGTTCCGCGCCTTGGAACCTCTACTCCGTCGAACTTGAGCTTCTTGCCGGTAGCGACTTTCTTCTTCGCCTCTCCGAGTAAGACTTCGAGTCTTTCGACCTCGTATTCCGCTTCCGAGACTTCTTCAATATATGCGGCTGGAACGGCAAACGATGTTTGGGATACTGGTGCTGGCTTTGCAATTTCGAGGAGGGACACCATATGCGGTGGCGTGTCCCGTACGTCTCGGGAGACTTGGGCGCGCTTTCCGGGGTTGGTTGCGTGATACTGGTCGAAACGATCCATGAGTAGTCGGCCTTGGATTGTTGACGGAACGAACGATCCGTCGGGGAGAACAACCTTTCCGGATGTGTTCCGGATGCACTTTCCGTCGCGAATGAACTCATTAACCTTCGGACACGAGCGAATGAAGTGTCCGTCTTCTCCGCAGAAGGAGCAGTTCGTGTTGCGGGGCAGCCCTGCGGAATGAGCGGATTGCGCGGATTGCGCGGATTGCGTACCTGTGTTTCCTGCAAACAGGGAACTGGTCTTGCGTTCAAACGAGTCTAACTTGCTTTGGAATGAGCGGAGCGAATCGAGGATGGTGGCCATGTTTGCGTCTTCTTTCTTTATCGGAACGGTTCCGGAACTCGTCGTTCCGGTCGCATCGGCTGTCTTTCCCGAGCGTTGCGAAGCCATACCTCCCCACATAAGCTTGGCGGCCTCGACGACTTCAGTGTATGCGTAAGCCATGCGACTGTCGTGGTTGGGGTTGCGGGCTAGCAAACGGAGAGTTAGCTGATCTTTGAAGGCACCCGTGATACCGTCGAGGAACGCTTCGTTCCGATCTTCTTCCGTGATTTCTTTCTTTGAGACCAGGAAGCTTGCTATCTTCTGGAATTCGCGCTGGTACTCTGCAAACTCCTCTCGGTTCTGGATTCCGGTGACGGCCCATTGTTGGACCAGGATACGGAGGTCATTCTTCGCATAGCGGCGATCGCGGTCGAGGGACGGGTATAATCCGAGAATTGCTGCTCGAGCAGCTTGCCAATCTGAGGCACCGTCTGCGGCTTCGGGTATTGAGGCCCAGATCTCGGAATCGGATTGGTTAGCGTAATATTTTACTCTCCAAATAAGCTGTTGATCGGAAAGTTGGAACTCATCTCCAATCATTTCTACTTCTTCAAGGAACCGAGGCAGGTCCTGCACGTTGGTTCCGTCATAACGGGGAGCATCACGGCTTGTTCGGCGCGGGGGCAGGCCGGTCTGTCCTCGGATCGTAACTGGCGGGGCATTCGGAACGTTGGTTGTGGCTGGCTGGCCACTCGGAGTACTGGCTGCGGCGGGCGAGCCGCTCGGATTATTCTGTGAGCTCATCTGTTGAGACTGGGAACTTATCGGATTGTTCCGTGTACTCGGAACTGTCGGAACGATCGGAATTGGTGGAAACGCTAGAGTGATTGTGTGGTCCTCTTCTTGAACGGACGGAACGGGAGACGCGGAACGAGTAGAGTTGTGCGTAGAGGTCGATGGAAACGAACTAGGGAACGAACTATGAAACGTGGATGGTGAAGCTGAGCCGGATTGCTCAAGAGGTTGTACGGAAACCCCTTCGGAAACGGGACTGGGCGTGCGGGATACGGGTTGCGAGAGGTCGCGGTCGACCAAATCTAATTCGGGTCCGGAATCTGATTCTTCTGTGATCGAGTTGGTGCGCTCTCGGTAGCGCTGCCACCTGTTGGCTGCTCGGCCTACTCGAGACACCTTGAGAAACCCCCCTCGCGGTGGGCTCCAAAATGTCGATCTCAAGTACCGGTTGAGGTAGAAGAGGTCAGTTGAGTCCGCAAGGTACGGACGCCGAGAGGGGTCAAGAGTGAGAAGGAATAGGTAGATCCGAGCGGAACGTACGAGTTCCGAAGGTGACGATTAACAAGACGAGAGTAGTGCGGAACGACGAAGCCGCACTTCGGAACGAGGCAATACGAGACGAGACGAGGCGAGATGGAACGTTAACTGAGGAGACTGTCAAACTACACACTAAGAGTCGCAGTAGAGAGTAACTTGATTCCTGGAAAGTACGAATTACATGAGGGTATTTATAGAATTTATGAGTCCTTTGTAGCTACTAGTCCTTTGTGAACAACAAATCCACCGCTGTCTCCTTTGTATCAACCCATCCGGGACTCCGGATCCGAGTCCCCTTTGTATCGATCGACCAGCCGTCCGAAGGCTCAGAGTCTTGCCTTTGTGAATCGGAACTGGAGTCCGGAACCCAACTAGTCCGAGTTGAGCGACCAAGACTATTGTGTGGGCGATGATGACGTAATCGAAGGATTGCTGACGTGAGGATGATGCGATTTT